ACTGGAAATTAAACAAAGGCTTCAGGAGAGCCTTAGTTCAAGATTGGATGAATCTCAGTATGACCAGTAAGTTTTGTGGTGTTTTAGTTACCCTAGTCCCATTCTACTCTTTTTTCTTAGTGGCAGCCTTGGAAACCAACAGCCTGTAATCATGGTGAAAATTAGCAAGCTGGCAGCTCTAGGAGGGGGCAGAATGGGGACCCCCCATCAAAGTCTCATTCCCAGAAAACTGTCATTATTTGATTGTCTGGGGGTTCCTTGGAATATCCTACTTGCAAGGCTGTCTTTATTAACTGACTAAAAGCTTGCTTACTGTGAAAAGCCTTTTCCCCAGGGCCGTTTGAGAAAATATCTAGAGGAGATTACTTAATTTCTTGGCTGTGTGAGGCACTGGATAACAGCTGAGACAGAAATAAGATAATCAAAAAGGAAAAGGAAAAACATCAGAATCCATAGCGGTTTTGAAAAACTCCAAATATTCTAGAGATTCTAGAAGGCCATTGTGCACATGCCAAGGGTTGTGCACACACTCAGGAAAAATCTTAGAAGATAATATGCTCTCACCTCAGCTGATTTTGAGATTCTGCACAAAAAATAAATGAAGGCTAAGGAAATTGTCACCTGTCTGACTGAGTATTAAAGTTGTGCTCTAAAGTCCACACAGAATTCCTTGGCAAAGACTGGAATGTTTATTGATTTCAGGTGTTTAAGAAAACCTCTGCCCAATCATGAACCAAGCAGACTTTAGTGACCACACATGCCAATGAATATAGATTTTATAGAATTATTTCATAAAAGTCACTAAATAAACCACAGACAGCAACAATACCAAACACTGGAGATAAAGGAGAATCTGATTTCCAGAGTTGCCACATTATGTCATTTTAAATGTCCAGTTTCCAAAGAAAAATTATGATGCATACAGAGAAATAAGAAAATATAACCCATACACAGGGGGAAAAAAGGAGTCAATAGAAACTGTCCCTGAAAAAGCCAAGATATTGCACTTTCCAGACAAAGACTCTAAATCAACTTAAAAAAGAATGTTTAGAATGAAAGGAAACCATACATAAAGAACTAAAGTATGAAAACAAACTCTCATCAAATAGAGAATATAAAGAGAGTGAAATTATACTTTAAAAGGACAAAATAGATATTTTGGATTGAAAAGTATAGTAACTGAAGTGAAAAATTCACTACAGTGGTTCAATAGCTGATTTGAGCAGGCAAAGAAAGAATCAGAGAACTTATATATGCGTCAATTGAAACTACCCAATTTGAAGAATAGAAAGGAAAAGAATGAAAAAAATAAACAGAGCTTTAAAAGCCTATAGGACACCAACAAGCATATTAACATACACCTAACAGGAGATCCAGAGGACAGAAAAAAGGACTGAAAAAATTAATACTTGAAGAAATAATGGCCAAAGACTTCCAAAATTCGAAGAAAAATGCTAATCTACATATCCAAGGTGATCTAAAAACTCCAGAAATAAAAACTCAGAGACCCCCAGCTATACATAATATGATCAAACTGTCAAAAGACAAAGAAAGTAGAGATAGCCAAGATGGCAGATTAGGAAGACAACGAGATCACCTCCTTTCATGACTACATCAAAATTACAACTATTTATAAAGCAACTACTGATATGAAACACCTGATGATTAACAGAAAAGGTTATCTACAACTAAAGACATGAAGAAGGTAAAATGAGATAAGCAGGAGGGGCAGAAAAGCAGTAGAATTAAAACCCATACCCACTTAGCAGACAACCCACAAATAAGAGGATGATCACAATTGCAGAAGTTCTCCCCAAGGAGCAAGAGGTACAAGCCCCACACTGAGCTCCCTAGCTCAGCAGTCCTTCTCCAGGAAGATGAGCCCCCAGAGTCAATGGCTTTGAAGGCCAGTGGGGATTACTTTAGGGAGAGTTAGAGGGTAGCAGAAAATAGAGACTCTGCTCTTAAAGAGCGTGTACAAAATCTCATGTGCTCTAAGACCCAGGGCAGAAGAAATAGTTTGAAAGAATCCTGGGTTAGACCACTTGCTAATCTTGTAGATCTTCCAAGAGAGGTAGGAAGAAACTAGGAACTCCTCAGAATACAGGTGCTGGCAGCAGCCATACTTAGGAACTCATTCTATCATGAGGATACTGGTGCTGGCAAGTGCCATTTTGGAATCTTCCCTCTAGATGATTGGTTCTGGGGAACAGCCCCACTCACCAGCAGGCCTGATGCCCTAAGACCCCATGAATCCCCAAGTCATTCAGGGACCCAGCCTCATCCACCAGAGGGCCCAGGATTCAGACCCACTCACTAGTGGGCCAGCACTAGTCCTGGGAACCCCTGAGTCACAAAGCAAACTGCACCAGGACCTAGTACTGCTTGCCAGCAGGCAAGGAGCATCCTCAAAGAGGCAGAGCCTGGCAGCCAGTTGGGATGGGGGCCAGTCCTGGCTACAAGTATGCTTACAGTAGTCAGCCTCACCACAACAGAAAAGTCCATACAGCTCACAGAGGAGGCAGTCTTAGAACACATCACTCTGGTGATCAAAGAGAAGTTGGGCCCCATAGAACATCTCCTACATAAGGCACATCTCTGACATTGGGAAACATAACTGATAGAATGCATAGAGGTAAAAACAGAAAGTTAGGCAAAATGAGGTGACAGAGGAAAATGTTCCAAATGAAAGAACAAGAATAAAACCCTAGAAGAACTATTAAGCAATACTTATTGCTTATTTACCCAATAAAGAGCTCAAGGTGATGATAATAAAATGCTGTGCTGTGCTGTGTTTAGTTTGCTCAGTCGTGTCCGACTCTTTATGACTCCATGGACCATAGCCCACCAGGCTCCGCTGTACATGGGGATTCTCCCAACAAGAATACTGTAGTGTGTTGCCATACCCTCTGCTGAATGAGCTAAAAAATAGATGAACATATAGAGTAATTTTTTGAAATAATTTTTAAAGAGTTAGAAAATATAAAGAACTAAGCAGAGCTAGACAATACAATAACTAAAATTAAATATATATTATAAGGAAACAATAGTAGATTAGATGATACAGAGGAGTGGATCAGCAAACTGGAAGACAGAATACTGGAAATCACCCAAGCTGGCCAGAAAAAAGAAAAAGAACTGTAAAAAATGAGGATAGTTTAAGAGACCTCTGGGACAACATCAAGTATATTAACATTTGTACTCTAGGGGTTCCAGAAGAAGAGAGAGAGAAGTTGGAGACATAGTAGCTTAAAACTTTCCTAACTTGGGGAAGGAAACAGACATCCAGGTCCAGAAGCACAGAGAGTCCCAAACAAGATGAACCCAAAGATATCCACACTAAGATAGGTTGTAATTAAAATGGCAAAATTAAAAGCATCAAGGGGAAAGCAACTAGTTACATAAAGTTGCAAGATACAAAGGTAATATACACAGATCTGTTGCATTTCTATACACTAACAATGACCTATCAGACAGAGAAATCAAGAAAAAATCTAATTTGCAATTGCATCAAGAAGAATAAAATACCTAGGAAGAAATCTAACCAAGGAGAGAAAACTATAAGACACTGATGAAAGAAATTTAAGACAACACAAGCAAATAGAAAGTTATACCATGCTCACAGACTGGAAGTCAATATTGTTAAAAATGACCATGCTCCCCAGGGCAATCTACAGATTCAATGCAAGCCCTCTCAAAATACCAATGGCATTTTTTCACAGAAGTAAAAGAAATAATTCTAAATTTGCATAGAAACAAAAGACCTGAATAGCCAAAAGATTCTTGAGAAAGAACAAAGCTGATGGTATCATGAGCTGTGATTTCAAACTATATTACAAAGATAGAGCAATCAAAACATGTAGTAGTGGTACAAAAACAGACACACAGATCAGTGGAACAGAATAGAGGGCCCAGAAATAAACCCACACTTATGTAGACAATTAATCTATGACAAAGGCGGCAATAATATACATTGGGGAAAAGACAGCCTTTCCAACAAATGGTGTTGGAAAACTGGACTGCTACATGCAAGGGAATCAAAATTAACTACTTTCTTACACCATGTACAAAAATAAACTCAAAATAAATTAAAGACTTAAATGTAAGACCTGAAGCCATAAAACTCCTGAAGGAAAACATAGGCAATATACTTTTTTTTTTGCCCATGCTGTGTGGCATGCAGGATCTTAGTCCCCTGAACAGGGATTGAACCTGTGCCCCTTGCAGTGGAAGTGTGGAGTCTTAACCACTGCATTGCCAGTGAATTCCCAGACAGTATACCTTTTGATATATATTGTCGCAATATTTTGTGTATAGAAATACTGAACTACTATGCTGTGTACCTAGAACAAACATAGTCTGTAGGTCAATGACCCTTCAATTAAAAAAAAGAGAGAGAATCTAGAAAGCAGCAAGAGAAAAGCAACCTGTATCATGCAAATATTTTTAAATAAGTAAATAGCTTAACTCTTATTATAAACTATGGAGGCTACAAAATAGTGGGATGACAAAAGTGCTTTAAGGAAAAGACTCTCAACGAAGAATTCTATATCTATGGCCAACTGATTTTCATCAAGTCTGCTGTCTTAATTCAGGCTGCTGTAAGAAAATACCATATCCTGGATGGCTTATAAATGACTGAAGTTTCTTCTTACAGTTCTGGAGGTTGGAAGTCTGAGATAAGGGTGCCAGTCTAGCTGAGCTCTAGTGAGGACCCTCCTCTGGGCTGCATGTTGTTGACTTCTGATTGAGAAAATTGGGTCTGGGGAGTTGAGCAGGTGAGATCATGTTTAAAAGGGACATACACACAATTACAAAACCCTTACACAATCTAAAGCAAGCACAGATGCTTCCAGGTACTATGAAAATGTGCCCACAGTTATATTCTAGGCAAATCATTTTCTTTAACAGCATCCCCAATCTCCACACCTCCACATTGATTCCTCACAAAGCTGGAATCAGTATACTCCCCAGACTGAAATCAGCAAGGGTAACCTTACCTTTAATATTGTTTTGCTGTTTCATCAATAATTTACTTATTTCTGAAAACCAACAATCTCTGATTTCTTTTGAAGCTGCCTGTAATTACAGATAAGAAAATACTGAATATCATCACCTGGTACATTAATTGGACAGGACTTTTATTCTCTGGGTGACTTTTAGAATGAGATAAAAAACACTTGCTGAGTTATGGGAACATGATAGGAAAAGAGGAGAGACACCTATGGGAAAGGCATGAATTTTACCTGTAGGATGTATTTTTCAAGTCCATTTTGGTTGGCAATTTCAAACTTTCTGTTGCTCCCCCTTCCAAGTTGGCGAATTGAAAGTGTCATCAACTATTGTAAACAAAGAAGAAAATTCTCTATGCCGTATCTTCCAATTTAAGAATTATCCCTGTCTGTCACTCCACTTTCTACCCTTGATCTGTTTTCTTCCATCTTTCTTCTAAGTGTTTTTCTGTTCTTTGTTAACAACCCCAGGGAACATAAAACACAATCTTGTGTCATTTATCTTGTGTGTTTCAGAGGACAACACAGATTATATCATTCCACAGGCACAGGTATAGCCTTTACTTTAAGCAAAATGGTGATCTCTCCTTTAATACCTGAGTATTTCACAAATCTCTACATAATAGTAACTGAATTAGTGTCCACTATGAAACATAAATAAAAAGCACTATGAATACATCAACAATTTTAATCACAAGAGTATGTATGTGTATATGTGATCGCTAGCTATGAAATATTTCTCATACAAGCAAGAGGCAATGCTTGGTGTGGACATGGGTCCCTAGACCCCCAGGATCAGGTGTCACCTGATGAAAAGATGCATGGTTGAGAAGATGAAATTCAGCCCTTGCTCTAATCTCCAAGACTTTCAATCCTCTGCCTGGACAAAAGAGGGTACTTTTTAATTAGTTTGTCTAGATAGGCTGCCATAGTGTCCCTTTTCTCAACCTAGTACAAAGGCCCTAGACCTGGGCCTATCTAGTGACTGACTACAAGCTCTGACTGTGGAATCAGACCTGGGTGGATTCTCGCTCTGTTTGTGGCATCTGTCAAGTTAACCTCGCCTCTCTAAGCTTCAGTTTCTTTATCTATTAAGTAAAGATAAAAATATTTCTTTCCACAGGGTTGTGCTGACTCCCAAGCACAATAGGACACCTTTACCTTCACAGACTTCTTAAAGCTGTAGTGAGGGCACAGGCCCTGGTCACTGGGCTCCATCTGTATCTTACAGAACACTATTCCCCGTTCAAATAGATAGATTTGCCTCTGGTTGGGCTTAAATCGAATTAAATCCTTCATCTTATAACGATCTTTGTGAACTGTCCAAACGTTGAAAGAACCATGCATCAACAACTTGCCGAGTTTTCCAATATCATCCTTTGGGAAACACAGATACACACAAAAAGGAGCTGTTAAATTACTTGATGAAAAAGAAGCTGTCAAACTGCAGAGCATGCTTATTTGACGTTTACAATCTTACAAGGGCCAGTCAGACTAATCTGTCACTTACCAAAACTACAATTTTATGAGCTTCAATGAGCATGGCGTCATTCAGTTAATAAGGAATAGTGCAGCAGTATAAGGTAATAAACAAAAAGCATGTTAGAAACACTTTGAACTAAAGGTATTGGTAGTCTGATATTTTTATCTTATAATTGCTTTTAGCTAGCAAAATTCCATTTCCTTTTCTTTATTTTTGATATGACACTACCTAATAAGGTCAAGATATTAATATTTCAATTACATTTGGGAGAGCCAGTATCTTTGCTGCAGTATAGATCTTTGGTTATCTGTGGGTTCCATCCTAATTCAGACGTATTTTAACATCTGTTTCAGCAACATGAGAACATAAGAACAAGAGATTTGTTCTGAAAGAGAAAGCTTAGGATGAACTAATCTTTATAATATTGTAAAGGAAATGGTAATTACATTCAACTCTGCATTTTGGGCTTCCCTAGCAGCTCAGTGGTAAAGAATCTGCCTGCCAATACAGGAGACGCAAGTTCTATCCTTGAGTCGGGAAGACCTCCTGGAGTAGGAAATGGCAACCCACTCCAGTAATTCTGGCCTGGAGAATTCAATGGGCAGAGAAGCCTGGCAGTCTACAGTCTGTGTGGTCTCAAAAGAGTTGGACACAACTTACCGACTAAACAACAACTGGATTTTTCAGAGTGAATGAACAGTGTAAACTTAATCCCAAATGACAATTTTTTTTTTGGTCTAATCTTTTTGGTTCTAAGGCACACACTCACTATGATGCCTCTCCTTCCACCATCAAATGCGTGGCTGAAAGTGCAAATGAGGTGATCCTGCCTTCTCTGAGCTCTCTCTAAAAGTAGCAGAATGTGATGAGCTAGAAACGTGGTATTTATAAAAAACTATATCACTAAAGTAGATAATCAAGAATTTATTTCCCTGAATCAAAACACCAAAAGAAAAAATTATTTGAATCAGACCAGGACAGAGATATTTCCCTAGCTAAGATAAATCCTCACAATTTAAAAGTTATTATTAGATATAACGCACATTATATACTCTTAAATGCAGTGTACATCATGTGAAATGCTGGGCTGGATGAAACACAAGCTGGAATCAAGATTGCTGGGAGAAATATCAACAACCTCAGACATGCCACTTTAACAGCAGAAAATGAAGAGAAACTAAAAAGCCTCTTGATGAAGGTGAAAGAGGAGAGTGAAAAAGCTGGCTTAAAATTCAACATTCAAAAAACAAAGATCATGCCATCCAGTCCTATCATTTCATCACAAATAGATGGGGGAAATGTGGAAACAATGTCAGATTTCATTTTCTTGGGCTCCAAAATCAATGCAGACAGTGATTGCAGCCATGAAATTCAAAGATGCTTGCTCATTGGAAGAATAGCTATGACAAACCTAGACAGTGTATTAAAAAGCAGAGACATCATAGTCAAAGCTATGGTTTCTCCAGTAGTCATGGACAGGTGTGAGAGTGGACCATAATGCTTTTGAACTGTGGTGTTGAAGAAGACTCTTGAGAGTCCCTTGGACAGCAAAGAGATCAAACCAGTCAATCCTAAAGGAAATCAACTCCAAATTTTCATTGGAAGGACTGGTGCTAAAGCTGAAGCTCTAATACTTTGGCTGGCCACTTGATCAAAGAGCCGGATCATTGGAAAAGACCCTGATGCTGGGAAAGATTGAGGGCAAGAGGAGATGGGGATGACAGCAGATGAGACGCTTGGATGGCATCACTGAGTCAATGGACAAGAGATTGAGCAAATTTCAGGAGATAGTGAAGGACAGGGAAGGCTGGTGTGCTGCAGTCCATGAGGTCATAAAGAGGTCATGTCTGACTTAGCAACTGAACAAAAACAACATCATGAACCATTAAATAGGCATTAAAAAATATTATGCATATTGAACTGTAAATACTTTTTAAAAATAACTGTATATCTGAAAGTCTAAAATAAAAACTTCAAGGCAATAAATTCTAGTCATTTTTATGGTGTGTGTGTCATAATTTCAGTATTGTTTTTCTCTTTTTCCTTTATAAAATTTACGTGCAGTAAATGTGGTGAGTGAAGTCCTCACTGAGGAGTAAGAATCCCAGTCACAAGGCCTTCTCTCCTAAAAGCATGACGTTCCTGTTGCAGGTTGCACAAACTCAGCTTGACTGTGAACTAAGACAGGTGGGTGATGGGTTCATAAGGATCTGTGAGAAGTTACTCACTCTGTCCACATACTTCCTGCACCCACTTAAGTGTAACCACTCCAGCCCTCAGTGAGTGCTGTCTTCTTTTACAACCATTTAATTTATATTACTCAGACATATATAGTGCAGGAAATATGTTTAGTCAAGGCTGGCAAAAGAAGGTATTTAATACCTGCCACAGGAACAACTGTATTTAAAAATTGATTTATACTCCATCTCATTTCAAAAATTAGATCAGTTCAGTTGCTCAGTTGTGTCTGACTCTTTGCAACTCCATGGACTGCAGCATGCCAGGCCTCCCTGTCCATCACCAGCTCCTGGAGTTTACTCAAACTCATGACATGTAATGAGTCAGTGATGTCATCCAACCATGTCATTCTCTGTCGTCCCCTTCTTCTCCCACCTTCAATCTTTCCCAGCATCAGGGTCTTTTCAAATGAGTCAGTTCTTCATATCAGGTGGCCAAAGTATTGGAGTTTCAGCTTCAGCATCAGTCCTTCCAATGAATATTCAGGACTGATTTCCTTTAGGATGGGCAGTTTGATCTCCTTGCAGTCCAAGAGACTCTCAAGAGTCTTCTCCAACATCACAGTTCAAAAGCATCAATTCTTTGGCACTCAGTTTTGTTTATAGTCCAACTCTCACACCCATACATGACTATGGAAAAAGCATAGCTTTGACTAGATGGACCTTTGTTAGCAAAGTAATGTCTCTGCTTTTTAATATGCTGTCTAGGTTGGTCATAACTTTTCTTCCAAGGAGTAAGCGTCTTTTAATTTCATGGCTGCAATCACCATCTGCAGTGATTTTGGAGCCCCCCAAAATAAAGTTTCTCACTGTTTCCATTGTTTCCCCATCTATTTGTCATGAAGGGAAGGGCCCAGATGCCATGATCTTTGTTTGCTGAATGTTGAGTTTTAAGCCAACTTTTTCACTCATCTCTCACTTTCATCAAGAGACTCTTCAGTTGCTCTTAGCTTTCTGCCATAAGGGTGGTGTCACCTGCATGTCTGAGGTTACTGATATTTCTCCCAGCAATCTTGATTCCAGCTTGTGCTTCATCCAGTCCAGCATTTCTCATGATGTACTCTGCATATAAGTTAAATAAGCAGTTTGACAACATACAGCCTTGACATACTCTTTTCCTAGTTTGGAACCAGCCTATTGTTCAATGTCCAGTTCTAACTGTTGCTTCTTGACCAGCATACAGATTTCTCAGGAGACAGGTCAGGTAGTCTGGTATTTCCATCTCTTTCAGAATTTTCCACAGTTTGTTGTGATCCACACAGTCAAAGGCTTTGGCATAGTCAATAAAGCAGAATAGATGTTATTCTGAAATTCTCTTGCTTTTTCAATGATCCAGTGGATGTTGGCAATTTGATCTCTAGTTCCTCTGCCTTTTCTAAATCCAGCTTGAACATCTGGAAGTTCACGATCCACATACTGTTGAAGCCTCGCTTGGAGAATTTGGAGCATTACTTTACTAGCGTGTGAGATGAGTGCAATTGTGCAGTAGTTTGAGCATCCTTTGGCATTGCCTTTCTTTGGGATTGGAATGAAATCTGACCTTTTCCAGTCCTGTGGCCACTGCTGAGTTTTCCAAGTTTGCTGGTATATTGGGTGCAGCACTTTCACAGCATCATCTTTTAGGACTTGAAATAGCTCAACTGGAATTCCATCACCTCCACTAGCTTTGTTTGTAGTGATGCTTCCTAAGGACCGCTTGACTTCGCATTCCTGGATGTCTGGCTCTAGGTGAGTGATCACACCATCATGACTATCTGGGTCATGAAGATCTTTTTTGTATAGTTCTTCTGTGTATTCTTGCCACTTTTTTTTTAATATCTTCTGCTTCTGTGAGGTCCATACAATTTCTGTCCTTTATTGTGCCCATCTTTGCATGAAATGTTCCCTTGGTATCTCTGATTTTCTTGAAGAGATCTCTAGTCTTTCCCATTCTATTGTTCTCCTCTATATCTTTGCACTGATCGCTGAGGAAGGCTTTCTTATCTCCCCTTGCTATTCTTTGGAACTCTGCTTTCAAATAGGTATATCTTTCCTTTTCTCTTTTGCCTTTCACTTCTCTTCCTTTCATAGCTATTTGTAAGGCCTCCTCAGACAACCATTTTGCCTTTTTGCATTTCTTTTTCTTGGGGATGGTCTTCATCACTGCCTCCTATACAATGTCATGAACCTCTGTCCATAGTTCTTCAGGCACTCTGTCTATCAGATATAGTACCTTGAATCTATTTCTCACTTCCACTCTACAGTCATAAAGGATTTGATTTAGGTCATACCTGAATGGTCTAGTGGTTTTCCCTACTTTCTTCAATTTAAGTCTTAATTTGGCAATAAGGAGTTCATGATCTGAGCCACAGTCAACTCCCAGTCTTCTTTTTTTTTTTTTTTTGGCTGACTGTATACAGCTTCTCCATCTTTGGCTGCAAAGAATATAATCAATCTGATTTCAGTATTGACCATCTGGTGATGTCCATTTGTAAGGTCTTCTCTTGTGTTGTTGGAAGAAGGTGCTTGCTATGACCAATGTATTCTTTTGGCAAAACTTTGTTAGCCTTTGCCCTGCTTTATTCTGTATTCCAAGGCCAAATTTGCCTTTTACTGCGGGTATTTCCTGACTTCCTACTTTTGCATTCCAGTCCCCTATAATGAAAAGGACATCTGTT